CCACCAGCTCCCACGCGAGGAAAATGATCCGAACCTGCTGTCTTGCGTCGGGTTACGTGGCAATGCGAAGGGGCAAGTGGTCATACCAGAGAAAAGGTAGAACGCACACAACTCCCTTCATGCGGGTAGAAGGGGATGGCTAAACTCAGTGTGGGGGGGAAATAATTGTGGAATCTACTTTCTCACAGTGATAGGAATGAGGTTCGATTGATACGTCCTAGCAAGTTGAGCTCACGGTGATGTGCTGACCTTCCGCTCGCCTGCCAAGACCCTGGCACGGGCAGAAAATGGGCGCAAAGGGAACCCAAGGTAACCTTGCCACCTTCCACCCACAAAGGATTGTTTCAACTTGTACGAAGCGCTTGCAGCAACCTTGTCCCCAAAGTAGCAAGAAACACCACCAGCGCCCGGAAGTACTGGAGCCTTTTCAAGACTTACCCTCCCACCAATTGACATGGAACCTGACAGGGGGGGTCCTGGAAGACAATTTTATTTTTACAAGTGAATGAGAAGTTACTGTGAAAAAAGGGTAAGTTATTTTTCCATTTTTTCTTTTTACAGGGACCTCCGTCAAGTCCAATGCGAATTGGTGGTCTGCTTCCACTGGAAAGCCATGGAAGTCGTCGACAGCCCGAGTGTGCCTCCTGCGCCTCACCTCAGACAAAAGGGGGGAGCACATCCAGGGCGTCAAGGCTGGCTCCACTTGAAATAGATCTATGATTGCAGCTAGGTCCTGTTCAAAGATGTACATACTGTCTGCATACATTTATGTGTATGCATATATTTATGTACGTATTTACAAGCATGCATGTATGTATAAATGTATGTCACGCTGTCTCTTTCTTTGTCGTCATCGATAAAATGCAAACATGCCTCTCCACTCTACCGAAGGGACTCGGTGCAGAAAGGCCGAAGTTGCTTCCTCTTCGGGGCCTTTGGCAGTCCGTCCCTTGTACTCCTTCAGGTATGTTTTCTGGGTGTCTTTTGGGACCCCCCAAAATGGATCTCGGGTGTCCTTTTAGGTTCCCTTCAAAACCACCGAAAAAGGGTGCCAACACACCCTTCTATCACGATGTGTTGCTTTCTTATCTAAAATCAGGGACCTCCCTTTTTAGAAGCCGAAGATGTCATTTGAGGCTGAAACAGAAGCCCTGCCGAGCTTCAAATCCAAAGACGTCTTAGTTGGCTTTAAGACTCCAGGTCTTGTTGGGGACGTCACCGTGAGGGCAGGTATCCATTGCAAAGTGGAACCTGCACAGGACACCTTGCGGGGGTTGACCATATTCAAAGGGGAACCCTAGCAAACAAATGGGCCGTTGTCGAAAATATGGACCCTGTTTACCTGGTGCCGCCTTGTACCCAAATGAAGAAAAGGTGAACCCAGCAAAGAGATGAAGAAGCTGCCCTGGTGGAAGAAGAAAAAACCTCCTGGGGGGTGACCATCTTCAAAGCAAAAAGCCACGGTGGATAAAGGAAACTTTTGAAAGTTGGCCATGTTGAAACGGGAACCCACGGGGACACCTCCTGGAAATTGACCAAAGACATGGGGGGAAAAGTGGGAAGCCACTGAAGAGCTGGAACCATTTTTGGGCTGGGGAGCTTCGAGGTCGAGCCAGGGAGCTTGCAGGCTGGGCGACTGCCTGAGTCGAACGGCGAAGGCCCGCTGTCCGGGTGCCGCAGGCGGCAGGCAGGTGGTCCAAGGGGTTGGGAGTCTTGTGCAGATCCTTCAGAGATGTAAAAGGGAACCTGGAAACGGGGTTATTGTGCTCTTTGATTAGATGGGTTACAACCTCCCCTTCTTGAAAGAAAGTCTAGCCCGCCAAAAGGGGGAAGTAGTGTTCTTCTTCGGAAAAAGAGAAAGAGGCCGGGGGTACGACGGACGCATTGAAAGTCTTCGGGTTTGGATTTGCACAGTGGGCTTGAGGTATGCTGCTTCGGCCCTGGGCAATATTTCCCCGCAGGCGGTTCAGGGAACCACCACCAGCGGGTCAGGGGGAGCTCCAGAAGGGACACCGAGCCAACAGCCCTGGGCAAGGCGCATGCGGCAAGCTCGCCCAGAGCGGCAAGAGCGCCAGCCTCGCGGGAACCGAGCGAATCGAGCTGTGCTGGAGGGTTTTCGTTTCTGGGAGTGGCCAGGGGAACTGAAAGGAAACCGCCCATTTTAGGGAAACCGCCCATTTAGAGACAAAGCCATATAACCTCTAGGCGCCCATTCACATAAGCGGAGGCCCCACTTTCGGCGGGTCGTGTTTTTAAAGACAAGCCTACTTGGGGGTTGATCAATAGTCCCTTTGGTCCCCGAATGGGTGTGTCTTTCTTTGGAGTTGGTACCCTTGTTGGGTGGTTTTAAAGGGAAACCAAAGGACAACCCAGCGTTTTGGGGGTCCGAATCCTAAAAAAGACACACCCACAACATGGGTAACTTTTCCCAGGTTGAAATATCATCTGTCTAAGGTTTTTTTTCCCAATGCTGATCCTATCTTTTGATCAACCCCCATGGCAGGCGTCCTTCAAAAGGCCTGTTTGAGACCTTCGTTTGTCTAACGGGAGCCAAACGAAATCAACGGTGTCTCCATTTGGTTGCCGTTGAAATAGCCTTGCAAATCCTGAAAAAGAAGACCGGCGTTCACATACAAATGCCGTCAGTCTCTGCTTGTTGTAGCCATAGTACAGAGAGGCAACTTGCGCCTCTTCACCCTCTTGCTAGTCCTCCAGGTCTGTTCATCACAGAGTCTGACATGGGTCTCCGGTTGGACGGCTACGCTCCTGAAGGCGCCTGGAAGACCCTCTCTGGTGGGGTCCATGTTAGTGGACCGGAGGCTCACCCCTTCAATTGCTTGGGCAGCAACCAGAATTTCTGGTGGCTCCCATCCACAAAGCCGTTGCACCCAGAGACCAGCCTCTGACCTCCAAATGTCGGGCTCTGTTGGTATGGGTTGATTCGTATGTTGCTTTGTCGACTCAGGCGTGTGTTCAATTTGGCCACCCTCCGCTGTCCGGCAAAAATATCCCAAGAAAAGCGTCCAGTCGCATCCACTCCATCTCTCTGGCCCGAATGCTGCTGAAAATGCGACCGCGAGAGACCTCCTTGCAGATTTCACCCCAAGAGCAGGCAGTTGCCCTGGTGCAACGATCTGATCTTGTTGGCCCAGTGGGATGGATGGATTCAGTCAGATCCAAGACGCTTCAAAAACTTAGCCAGGGGATCCGGCCAGGCCAGGACCCGCCCTCTCCCTCGGGCCTCGCGATGGCGCCATAGCAAACCATGGGCCGTCGATTCGATGCTTCTTCGATTTCAGCTCAAAATCCCGGGGCTTTCCCCAGAAACGTTCAAGGGGGCTTCAAATAGATGAGGACGCGGGAAGTTGGGGCTTCAACCGGGTTTCGGCGGTTGGAATTTGGGGCCCGTTTCGGGCCCCTCTCAAATCCAAGAATAGACTAAGCTTGGTCCACCATTTTGCCAACCAAAATTATTGTGTCAGTCGCTCGTATGGGGCTTCCTGTAATTAATGGCGGTGGGTTCACCTACTGAAAGTACATGGGACCTGTTTCCTGGGGTTGGTGATGCAGAGCACTGAGTTTGTCCCATGTTTCCAACTCGGCCCAAGCGAAATTGGTCGACCCCGGTTTTTTTTGCCTGGACCAAAACAGCCGACCGCATGTGGCAATCAATTCTCTCACTCTGTTCAGTTTGCGTCTTGATCCAGCGCGCGCGCGTCCGGCAGCCACCAACCCCAGGTCGAAGCCCCAGAACCCAACCAAGCCAAAGGCCGCAGCGGTTTGCATCTTCAGGTCACTCTCGAATGGAACGGCCCTGGTACCAGGGCACGGGTGTGCCTCCCTGGGAAAACCGGTGCGGGTCTGGGGGGGGCACGGTGTCGGAAATGGTTTTGCAAATGTTCGGAACACCCTCGTGTTGGATTGCCTGGCTATGAATTTCAGATGGAAACCAGATAGTTGTTGGACACAGCTCTCTTCCCCTGCAAATGATATCTACGATTTGGTGGAGCCCAAGTTTGCGCAGTTTGGGCGCATACACAGACTCCCTTCGCATGCGAGGGCTTCTCTTCTTTCGTGCAATTGCTGAGCTTAACAAAACATGCGCAAGCCAAGATGTAAACCAATCTGCCGGCAACCGAGGAGAAAATCGGCTGCTGCATCCAACCAACCAACCAACCAACCAACCAACCAACCAACCAGCCAGCCAGCCAGCCAGCCAGCCAGCCAGCCAGCCAGCCAGCCAACCAACTGACCGGGGTTCAGGTTTCGGAGCAAAACCGTGGAATACGACAGCTTTAAGGCTTGCTCTTGTCTTCACATGGAACCTCCAAAACGGAGTGGTTTCCCTTTTGCTTTCCTTCAAAGCGGCCCCAAAAGGGATACCCTCCAAAAACATTATATAAAAAAATCCCCTATATGCACGCAGAGGAGACTACGAACATTGGGGACTACCGAAGACTGATACCCCAGTCATCTTGCTACTTGCACACATCTAACCCTGAACCAGATGAGCGGTTTCTCATGCGGGAAAATTGGATCGTCCCCTTCTCCGCCGAAACCAAGACATGGGTGGCTCATCTTTTCTTGGGGTCCCGGACACACTAAAATGGCTTCGGTGTTCCTTTGGGTTTCCTGTTTAAGTCCTTCCCTCGAGGAAAATTCCCCTACAGCTTGATTTATCTGGGGTCCACATGAAAGGACAACAGAGGTACCTCACAACCTCGAAAGGGGGACCTGTTTCTCAAACGGCCTTGAGGTCCAGGGGAAGAAAAAAGAAGCTTGGGCTCGAAACGACATTCTACCCTGCCACTAGCATATGGCTGTGGGTCAAAACCCTGTACCCCTGGTGAACATCAAAATAGGTGGCAACAGGATATTCATCCACCCCAAAAATGGAGCCATGGGTTATGCCCCATGGCCATATCACCTGACGGATCCCTCGAAGAGGAGTTGTTCATCTTCCAGATGCCTCGGGCCCCAGTGCCGCCCGTTGGAACCCACCTCCTCCTGCTGCAGGGTGTGTGGGTGCTCGCCGTCGTGCTCGTGGCTGTGGCCTCAAACCCCCTCACTAAAACCCGCCAGCCGATTTCTCCAGGGGTTGATTCCAACTGACCCACACCACCCACTTTCGGGGGTTCCCCTAAAAACACACCCATATGTTCAGATGGTGCTCTAGGGGTTGAAATTCCTTCTCCCTTCTTTTCAACCATCCTTCTTTTCTCAAAAAAAAAAACAAAAAACGGCTGGCCGTGTCCCACTTGGGGATTTTGGAGGGTTTCCTGAGAAGCTTCGGATCCCTACCCCGAGAATCTCAGGGACTCGACGGCTCAAAGGGACCCAACCACCGGCGCACAAGGCGACCGTGGATGGTGCGAAATCTTTGCAAAGCTTTCCACGTAAGGCGGCTCCGTTTTTCTGCGAAAGAAGGGGGGTTGAAAGGCTTTTCCCTGGCCTGGCCAAAACGGTGACTCAAAGGGGAGCCACCCAGCACAGGAAATAGGCAAAAGTAAAGGCAGACCTAGGAAGGAAGAGGCAACGCAAAAAAACACAAGATGGTGTTTCGGGAACTTGGACGTCCTTTGAAGCAAGCATTTGCGGGGAATACTCGCATCTACTTTTGGAATAGAGTGGTTTTCCTTTGTTGTCAGCAGTAAAAGAGTCATTGTAGAAGTGTCACTGAAACCTGGGGACATCTAAATCAGCAGCTTGGTTGCCTTTCTTCCTGTGGATGGTTGCAAAATCCATTTCGCACCACGAAATGGACCCATGGTTGAAACCAGTGTTTGTGGGTATTTACCTTGGGGAATCGAGTCAGAACCCAGGGTTTCTCGGAGTTCGGTGCGATTTCCAAAGAATGTGCAACGACAAACCCTCCATCGAGCCACGCGTAATGCCACAGTCGGCTTTCCATCCTTACGTTGTCACTTCGAAGTCTCTTGATTAGCAGGGTACCCTTTTTGGGGGGGTTTGCCACCAAACCGAGAGGAAAACCATTTTTGGGGGGTGGGTCCCCTAGAAAAAGACACACCCGTATCACAAAGTAAGCCAAAACCTGAAATCAGAAGCTAGAAAAAAAGAAAAGCAAGCGTCTCAAAGGCCAACTGAAACGCAGATCTGCACAAAAAGGGGGAACACATGCGACACTTACCACAAGCAGATGTCCCTTTCAACCAAAAGAACAGGGTGTCTCATCATTTTGAGACATCCCAACACTTTGGCTTCCCCCCCCAAAAAAATAATATATCAAGAAGTGGTTTTTGCTGTTCGTGTGACTCACCTGACATATCTCCCTTTCCCTAAGGGATTTCCTAAGGGAGGGGTCCAGCCCCGCTGTCAGGCAGCTCCAAGATTGGGCCAACCACCTGTTGAACGCGCCAATCAATGCCCCTCTTCCATTTTCAGTGGGTGGTTTTTTTGAAACCCTAACAGAACCACCCTCCCAACAGGAGCTTCGGGTTTTGGATGATTCTCGTCAAAGTTGCAGGGGAAAAACCTTCTCCGTTCAAACGACTCCATCTGATTCTGCGCTACGCTAGCAGTTTCGGCTTCGAGTCCCACACAAATCGGGCCGGAAGCATAGGCGGCCTAGTGAATGGTTGATAGACCCCATCTAAATTAGTGGAACTCATCTATGTTTAACCAAACCGACGTAAAAAGGACACCTATGTTCATGCCCAGGTGGAGCCGACGGACTCCGCTCTCCGCTCGCTCACTTTCTGTGCGCCCGGCCGTGATCACCGTGGGAATGGCCGTGCCTGGAGACGCAACAACGCCGGACTGAAGGAACCGTGGGTCATGACCCCAAAATGGGTTGCCCGACATGGAAACAAGAACTAAAACCTGCCAGTGGTGAAAACAAAATGACCCCTTTTTTTCCCAAGTTGTGATTGGGGACTTCTCATATTGGGACTTCTTGTAGAACCTTTCTTTGCATTTTTGGGGGGGACGCAAACAGCATGCAATGGGAACCCATTCAGTAAAGCTGGCTGACGAACGTTGGGGGTCTGTCCCATTTGAGACTGGAGATTTCACGTTGGGAAGCCCCCCAATTCATCAGGATTGATTTGTGCGGGTGGGGCAATCAACAAATGGAACTCTCGCGTAACCCACACTAAAAACCTCGCATCAGCAAGCTGACTCGTATCAGCATCCGGTTCGAGGCTTAAAAGTACTGACTGTTTGGCTGCCTGCTTAAGTAAATCCCCTCCGGCCAAAAGAGAAAAACGGGGTGGTGGGGGGGGGGGGGGGGGGGGAATGAATCAATCCAATGAGTTCTTGAACTCTCAAAATTCCGGATGAAGGTGCCGAGGGTGCAGTAGGTGCGCAACCCGTTGTTGTTTGAGCAGAATAAGAACCCCAGGGCGGTTCAGCTGTGTGGCCAACGAATATTCAATCATCAACATGGAGGAATTCATTGATTCAAGGAAGCATGCGTATAGAAATTATCCTGCAAAAATCAACACATGACCTTATACTGAAGGCAGGTCATCAGGGGACGAGCCCAACACAGGAGCGCCCGTGGAACCATGAAAATTGACTCGCGAAGAACGAAAACCGCGCCCCCTGACTCTTTCTTGATTCGCAGCACTGTGGTTGAGTCTCCTGATATGCAATGTCAATCTAGGCCTGGCGGCCTTTCCAACCCCTCATGTGTTCTATGGTCAAAGCTGTCGGCAAAAGACCATGGTTCCCTCAGCACTTGGCCCATGCTGAAAGGTCTGAAAAGCATCACCCTGGGACACTCTTGGAACCATTCGGCAAATGGTGGGGTGTTTTGCTCGCAAGTACTCTCATGAACATGGGACGCAAGGGTGCCTTTGCGCCAGTTCCTTCCATTGATCTGTTCGATTTCCAGGGCCCAAGCCTCAAGCCGTGCCTCGTGGTTGATACTTTGACCCCAAAACGGGTACCAGGCAGATTCCTCTTGGGTGGGTGTCTCCTTTTTGGCGCCATGAGCTTTTAAAGAGCCCTCCTGAGCTCTCATCCCCCGTTGGATCGGACATTTGGTTTCTTTGTCGGAAGGTATCGGAGGGCAAAAACCTGGCTGTGCCCCTCCAAACTGCTCCTGCCTGTGGCGATGCGAATGGTAGAGCAGCATCCAAATCCTGAGAGTTGTGGCCCTTCCAAGCGCAGGACCTCCGGGCTACAAGGGGGGGTGGAGGGTGGGATCCGTGGGGTTGGTGGCTGGGTGGGGTGGTGGGGTGGTGGTGGTGTGGGATGGTGGTGGTGGGGCGGGTGTGGGGTGGTGGTGGGTGTGGGGTGGTGGTGGGTGTGGGGTGGTGGTGGTGTGGGGTGGTGGTGGTGGTGGTGGTGTGGGGTGGTGGGTGTGGTGGTGTGGGGTGGTGGGGTGGTGGGGTGGTGGGGTGGTGGGGTGGGGTGGTGGGGGTGGTGGGGGTGGTGGGGTGGTGGGGTGGTGGGTCGGGTGGTGGTGGGGGGTGGTGGGTGGTGGGGTGGTGGGGTGGGTGGGGTGGTGGGGTGGTGGGTGGTGGTGGGGGGTGGGGTGTGGTGGGGGGTGGTGGGTGGTGGTGGGGTGGTGGGGTGGGTGGGTGGTGGGGTGGTGGTGGGTGGTGGTGGTGGTGGGTGGTGGGGTGGTGGGGTGGTGGGGTGGTGGGGGTGGGGTGGGGGTGGGGGGGTGGGATGGTGGGACGGTGGGATGGTGGGATGGTGGGATGGTGGGATGGTGGGATGGTGGGATGGTGGGGTGGAGTTGGGGTGTGGTGGGGTGGGTGGGGTGGTGGTGGGGTGGTGGGGTGGTGGTGGGGGTGGGCGGACCCGCAGGTGCCTGGAGCGGGAGCTCATCATGATCAACGACTCAACACAGCTGTCGGCTGCCTGCCGATCGCCGGAACACGGCACGTGGTCTGCAACACCATTCACTGCACTGGGGCCGTCCAAGGAGCGGAGAATTTGGGCCACGCCCTGCTCGCCGAACTGGCTCTTCGAAGCGCTTCTTGACGAACAACAACAACAACAACCCCTCCCCCGGTCCGTCCTCCTCCTGAGCTCCCATGGGCCAGCCATGGCTGCTGTTGGCTGCTGTTGGCTGCTGTTGGCTGCTGTTGTTGTTGCTGTTGCTGTTGCTGCTGCTGTTGTTGTTGTTTGTTTGTTTGTTTGTTTGTTTGTTTGTTTGTTTGATTGTTTGTTTGCTTGTTTGTTTGTTTGTTTGTTTGTTTGTTTGTTTGTTTGTTTGTTTGTCTGTTTGTTTGTTTGTTTGTTTTTCTCTTTTTCTCATTTTTCTCTTTTTTCTCTTTTTCCTCTTTTTTCCATCCTTTTTCTCTTTTTCTCTTTTTTCCATTGTTTTCTCTTTTTTCCCTTTTTTTCCCCCCCCCTTCTCTTCTCAAAGCTGCCGTTTGGCAGCCTGGAGCCCCACAGGCTTGTCGCCCCATTTGCCCAGGGCTCGCTTAGCAGCAGGGCTGCTTGCCCTTGTGCCCTTTTTCTTTTTGGCCCTCTGCCGGGCCTTTTTCAGGGCTGCCGGGGTCTGCTTCCCCTTTTTCTTTTTTTCTCCTTTCCTTTCTCCTTTTTCTGCAGCTCCCTTCTCTTCTGCTGCTGCTTCCTGCGCACTTCGCGCTGCAGCTGCTGTTGCAGCTGCAGCTTTTTGGCAGGGCTTGGGTGTTGCTTTTTTTTGAAGGCAACAGCCCATGCCTTGGGGAGCACCTCACGTCCCCACGAAGTTCTTGTCGTCCCCCACAAGCTCCCCGTACCCGCCTGGCCGACCGTGCTGGCGTTCTTGTTCTGGCAAGATATTTTGCAACAGCTGCCGCAGCAGGCCGGTCCGATCCTCAACAATGAGCAAGTCTTTGTGGCACTTCAGTGCGTCCAGCACGTCTGGCAGGTAGCCGCGCAAGGGGTGTGGGTGGGGACCCCACACCACCCCACACCCCCACCACCCCCACCCACCCCCACCCACCCCACACCCACCACCCCACACCCACCACCCCACAACACCTCGGTGTGGGGCGGTGGTGTGGGGGTGTGGGGTGGTGAGGTGGTGGGGTGGGGTGGTGGGGTGGTGGTGTGGGGTGGTGGTGTGGTTATGGTGGGGTGTGTGGGTGGCGGGTGTGGGTGGGTGTGTGGGTGTGGTGGTGGGTGTGGGGTGGTGGTGGGTGTGGGGTGGTGGTGGGTGTGGGGTGGTGGTGGGTGTGGGGCGGTGGTGGGTGTGGGGTGGTGGTGGTGTGGGATGGTGGTGGTGGCGCGGGTGTGGGGTGGTGGTGGGTGTGGGGTGGTGGTGGGTGTGGGGTGGTGGTGGTGTGGGGTGGTGGTGGTGGTGGTGGTGTGGGGTGGTGGGTGTGGTGGTGTGGGGTGGTGGGGTGGTGGGGTGGTGGGGTGGTGGGGTGGTGGGGTGGTGGGGGGTGGTGGGGTGGTGGGGTGGTGGGGGGTGGTGGGGTGTGGTGGGGTGGGTGGGGTGGTGGTGGGGTGGTGGGGTGGTGGTGGGGGTGGGCGGACCCGCAGGTGCCTGGAGCGGGAGCTCATCATGATCAACGACTCAACACAGCTGTCGGCTGCCTGCCGATCGCCGGAACACGGCACGTGGTCTGCAACACCATTCACTGCACTGGGGCCGTCCAAGGAGCGGAGAATTTGGGCCACGCCCTGCTCGCCGAACTGGCTCTTCGAAGCGCTTCTTGACGAACAACAACAACAACAACCCCTCCCCCGGTCCGTCCTCCTCCTGAGCTCCCATGGGCCAGCCATGGCTGCTGTTGGCTGCTGTTGGCTGCTGTTGGCTGCTGTTGTTGTTGCTGTTGCTGTTGCTGCTGCTGTTGTTGTTGTTTGTTTGTTTGTTTGTTTGTTTGTTTGTTTGTTTGATTGTTTGTTTGCTTGTTTGTTTGTTTGTTTGTTTGTTTGTTTGTTTGTTTGTTTGTTTGTTTGTTTGTTTGTTTGTTTGTTTGTTTGTTGGTTGTTTGTTTGTTTGTTTGTCTGTTTGTTTTGTTTGTTTGTTTTTCTCTTTTTCTCATTTTTCTATTTTTTTCTCTTTTTCCTCTTTTTTCCATCCTTTTTCTCTTTTTCTCTTTTTTCCATTGTTTTCTCTTTTTTCCCTTTTTTCCCCCCCCCCCCTCTTCTCTTCTCAAAGCTGCCGTTTGGCAGCCTGGAGCCAGCCCACAGGCTTGCCGCCCCATTTGTCCAGGGCTCGCTTAGCAGCAGGGCTGCTTGCCCTTGTGCCCTTTTTCTTTTTGGCCCTCTGCCGGGCCTTTTTCAGGGCTGCCGGGGTCTGCTTCCCCTTTTTCTTTTTATCTCCTTTCCTTTCTCCTTTTTCTGCAGCTCCCTTCTCTTCTGCTGCTGCTTCCTGCGCACTTCGCGCTGCAGCTGCTGTTGCAGCTGCAGCTTTTTGGCAGGGCTTGGGTGTTGCTTTTTTTTGAAGGCAACAGCCCATGCCTTGGGGAGCACCTCACGTCCCCACGAAGTTCTTGTCGTCCCCCACAAGCTCCCCGTACCCGCCTGGCCGACAGTGCTGGCGTTCTTGTTCTGGCAAGATATTTTGCAACACACCACCCCACACCCCCACCACCCCCACCCACCCCCACCCACCCCACACCCACCACCCCACACCCACCACCCCACAACACCTGGGTGTGGGGCGGTGGTGTGGGGGTGTGGGGTGGTGGGGTGGTGGGGTGGTGGTGTGGGGTGGTGGTGTGGTTATGGTGGGGTGGGTGTGGGGTGGTGGGTGGGTGTGGGGTGGTGGGTGTGGGGTGGTGGGTGTGGGGTGGTGGGTGCGGGGTGGTGGGTGTGTGGGGTGGTGGGTGTGTGGGTGGTGGGTGTGGGTGGGTGTGTGGGTGTGTGGGTGTGTGGGTGTGGGGGTGTGGGTGGGTGTGTGGGTGTGTGGGTGTGTGGGGGTGTGGGGGTGTGGGGGTGTGGGTGTGTGGTGGGTGTGGGGTGGTGGGTGTGGGGTGTGGGTGTGGGGGTGGTGGTGGTGGTGGGTGTGGGGTGGTGGTGGTGGGTGTGGGGTGGTGGTGGTGGGTGTGGGGTGGTGGTGGTGGGTTTGGGGGTGGTGGTGGTGGTGTGGGTGGAGGTGGTGGGTGGTGGTGGGTGTGGGGGGGTGGTGGTGTGGGGTGGTGGTGGGTGTGGGGTGGTGGTGGTGTGGGGTGGTGGTGGTGTGGGATGGTGGTGGGTGTGGGGCGGTGGTGGGTGTGGGGTGGTGGTGGTGGGTGTGGGGTGGTGGTGGGTGTGGGGTGGTGGTGGGTGTGGGGTGGTGGTGGTGTGAAGTGGTGGTGGTGGTGGTGTGGGGTGGTGGTGGTGGTGGTGTGGGGTGGTGGTGGTGGTGGTGTGGGGTGGTGGTGGTCGTGGTGGTGTGGGGTGGTGGGGGGTGGTGGGTGTGGGGTGGTGGGTGTGGGGTGGTGGGTGCGGGGTGGTGGGTGTGTGGGGTGGTGGGTGTGTGGGTGGTGGGGTGGTGGGGTGGTGGGGTGGTGGGGTG